ATTTATAGAATTAAGGTGTTCTAAGAATACAGTTATTTTATCAGAAGGTAATATTGTAAAAGTGTCATCTACATACCGCTTGTAGAAACGAGGGGTCACGGGTGATGTGTTCAGAGCAGTCTCCTCGAAGTCCTCCATGAAGATGTCGGCTACGACGGGGGAGACTGGCGAACCCATGGCCACTCCATCCACTTGCCTGTAGAATTCACCATTCCACAGTAGATAGCCGGATGTTAGGCAGTGTTTTAAAAGTTCAATGTATTCTATTGACATGTTGTGATCTAGTAGCTTCCTAGATATTATTTCAATACAGTCTTCCACTGGTAGGCTGGTAAATAAAGACTGTACATCGAAACTAACCATTGTTTCGTTGTCCATGAGTTTTAGGTGTTTAACTTCATTGACAAAATGGTAAGAGTCCTTTGTGAACGCTCTTGTTAATCCTCTGAGTGGTGAGAGTACTTTTGCTACTAGTTTAGCCAATTTGTAAGTCGGTGAGTCGATTTGACTCACAATTGGACGTAGCGGAGCGTTAGTCTTGTGTATTTTCGGAAGTCCATACAACTTAGGTGGTTTTGCACATGATGGAATAAGATTTTTAACATCAAGATTTAATGTGTCGGAGTGTTCCTTAATTAGCTTTTTAGTATTATTTAAAACGGTGGTAGTTGGATCCGTTTTAACCTTTTTGTACGTGCTCTCGTCCGACAAAAGTTGTTTTATTTTATCATTATAATCTGATGTATCCATCACAACGGTTGCATTTCCTTTGTCTGCGCGTAGAACGGTGATGTCTGACCTATTGCGTAGGTTCTTCAACGCTAAATACTCTTGTTTATTGAGATTTGGTTTGGGCCTAGTACTACGACGTAATAAAGACGAAACATCTTGACGTATGGCCTCCATATCCTCAGTTTTCATAATATTTTGGGCCAGGGCATCTTCAACTGCGCAAATAATGTTTTCATAAGGAATGCGCGTAGGCGTTACAGCAAAATTCAAACCTTTATTTAGTACCCGAATGGTAGGTTCGTCTAACGTTTGTTTTGACAGATTGACAACCTGAGGTCCGCACGAGTGTGTATCTGTGGTAGACGGGCGCGTTCCGTTATACTCTATGGTTTTCTTTTTCTTTTTGATGTTTAATTTTTCAACGAGTTTTTGATATTTTAAAATATGTTTAATTTTGCACTGATTATATTTGGTTGTTTCACGCTTATTTAAAGTGTCAATGCAATCGTTGAAATCAGATGGTGTCAATACTGTCTTAACAATATTAGACGTCTGTTCAATGTCCCGGTCGTTTCTGCGTAGATTATAAATAAATAATTTTCCATATTCAATTATAATTAAAATTATAAAAAATCTTTAAAGTTAAAAATATTGTAATGTAATTGGTGCAATTTTCATTTTGTTAATTGTGGGTAGGCTGTCTGTAACAACTATATCTTTAAGACATGTAACACCTCAGTCTCTCCCGTGACCATGGATGCTGTAAAGCATTCGAAACGTCGGGAACCAAAAATTAAAATAAATCCGCGAAATAATCCGAAAAGATAGTTTTATTTAATAATGTCAAACATTCGCGTAAATCTAAGAAAGAATCTATAGTTTTTAGAATTTTTGTCTGTCTGTCTATCTGTTACAGCATCACAGAAAAACCACTGGAAGGATTTTGATGAAATTTAAGTACGATGATAGCTGGTTATCCGGGTCAACATAAAATATAGAATACTATTTACTGCAGGAAAATATCTCATCTCTGAGAACTTAACCTTAAAACGTATGTAGGGACGAACCCGAGCGGAGCGAGGGTGAGTCGCTAGTGTTGTTATGTATTTTTTATGCCTTCCATAATTTAAATCACGTTAAACTCTCATTATTAACAAAGTAATTAAACGATAAACAAATATTCGGATAAAATACTTTTTTCAAAGTAAACATTACTCTATCAATATTAACGTGACTTTATACGGGTTATTAACGAATATGTATGTAAACAATGTTTATTGCGAATCACATATCTTCGTCAGTTATTCAGTTTCATTAACGTTCAGCGAGCAATAAAAGTGAAAATTACGTGTATAGCGTCGACAAAATGAATATACCTAAAGGTTAAATGGATATTGGTGTAATTATAAAATTTTACATATTATTAAGCTTTTACTCATTATTCTTCTTTAAAAATATTTAATGTTGAATTATTTGAGTATAAATCAAGGTAGCTATAAAATCTAAGTCAAAAGTACTAAGGTATGTTCCCACTCAAATGGTCGTTGGTAAAGAATTAACAGATATTATGTAAACGTGACATAACCTAGAATTATATACGAGCACGAAGACTTTCACTAAAACTCGTCATATCAAACTTGCTCCAGATTTGCTCTCTCACTATAATAAATCCAACAACGGGTGGATGTTTGTTATATTTTTACGCAAAAACCACTGAATGGATTTTGATGAAACTTACAGTTAAATAGCTTATACATCAGAGTAACATATAGGCTTAATTTAAAAAAATATAGTATACATAATGAAATACACGTGCGGAGCCGGGGTAAAGCGTTAGTTGTAACAAAAACTTACCATGTCATCAGCAATAATTATCACCACATTTGGGCGAATATATTCCGCTTCGCTGTATTGCAGTATGAATAATAATACCAGAAAGCTAAAATACTCTAAATCCAATAACATGACCTACAAATAATAATTAAAATTAATAATTATAAGCAATGTGAACCCATGTATGTTTACATAAAGATATTATATTCGATAAGTATTACTATTGATAAACATTGTTAAATGAGATGATGAAAATACCTTGAAGCTTTTTAACCGACTTCAAAACGGTGGAGAATATTATGTTATAATTTTTTTTCCAATTTTAATTATTCCTTATGAGTGATCCCACAAATATACATACATTATATATATATATATATAGATATAAAGTATCTTTGTTACGAATAGTGCTGATTTTATAAATACAAAACGTCCATATATTTTATCAAATATCAGTGTAACAACATATAAACATAACAAATAATATGTTCTCATATCATGTTAATTTTTTTACTTATATTATCGTCTAGTAGATATATTAAAATGTACTTACTGTGTATAACTTTAACTATTCACTTAGTATATATTTTTGTAGACTACACAGAAAACTGTATAAACGTACGTAACATACAAGCGTTTGTATATAAATAAGATATTAGAAGCATATTTGACGGCTCCACACGTGATTCGTGAACTTGCGATTACGATTACATCAAGATATCATTTCAAATAAGTTGTTAAAGGAAAATTTAAATTAAAACTTTGATTAAAAAAAAGGTAGTATCCATACTAATATTATAAAAGCTCTGTCTGTTACCTGTTTACGCTTAATCCGCTGAACCGATTTAGATGAAGTTCAGTATGGAGATAGTTTGAAATCCTGGGAAGGACATAGTATATCTTTTATCCCAGAAATCATCCCTTAAGGGGAGGCTGTAGGGAGGGAAAGGGGGTGGAAGTCTGTATGGGGAATCAATGATTTGTCAAGTAAGTATATATTTTTATTTTTTAAGGAGATACTTACCTACTTTTCTATACTATACACGTGTATGTATATAGTCTATCTATTCCATACTAACCGTTAAACCGTACCTAGGGACGAATCCGAGCGAAACGAGGGTGAATCGCTAGTAGTAATAATATATTTTTTATAATAGCTTTTGTAAATAACAAATTTTCATGAAAATGTGTGAACACTTTTTATCTCTTTAGGAGGTGAATTTTTAAATTATTTCTTAGAGCATATCTAGTAAAGAAGAATCTACTTGCTAAGTTTGAAGTTTGTATCATTTCGTGATTAATCAACACTTTTATATAATATGAATGAACATAGGTACAAATATATATACATAGATTTCATCTTGTAAAGATATGAATGATTGATAACTTGTTGAACCAGCCGTTATCGAGTAAGTAGATCAAGATGGGTACCGCTATCGATTACATAGTCGACACTTCCTTATTATTCTAATTTTATAAAGCTTGAGAGTGTGTTTTTGTTAGTTAAACGTGATCCAAACAGGATTTACCAGTGTGATTTGAAAAAATATTTTTGTATTTTTGACTGAAACGTCTTTAAAATCACACAGAAATATACCTTGCCGCCATAACTGCGGTTTGCAACATTAAGTAATTTTGCATGCTTATTCTTGGTACTTGAGTAAGATTTATTAATACTCAGAGTCAAATTATTTTATTCAGCATAAGAATGCTTAACTTGTGTATTGAACTTTGTTGATTCTCCCAATAGTCAGGCTTTAGCAAAAATTGTGAACGAAACTAAGCGGGTTTTGACCTGTTTTTGTAAACTGAAATACCTCTTTTGGAGAAGGAAGTAGTGTCATGAGATAAGCTATCATAATTAATGTGACAGATTCATGTGTAAAAGAGCTACACTGAAAATTAGTTATTTATTTCGAAATAAATACCTAACAAGGAAAATATAAACACTGCATGCGTGGTTCCAGGTAAAAGTAGTGACACGGTAAATATCAAATCGCACAGTCTTTAAGAAACAGCTACAGTTTCATGGTATTTCCTGTATCCACACTACGTGGGTTCGGCACAATATGTTTCCTTCTTCCACTTCCCTTTATAAGCCGTCATCTCAGCACATATAATTTTCACACAGACCATCCGTATCCTCCTCGGTCTACCTCTACTTTTAAATTGATCCATAAATTATATCCTTTTGCTTTTATGGCTTTATTCCCTCCTCATAACATATCCACAATACAATATACAATTTTATAGTATTTAGATACATTTAATAAAGATTGGATTAGCGTTTAATTGACCTTATAATCCTCGTGGTCCTATTAAATAAGTTGTATTCATAACATTTTATTAAAATAAAGATCTGATTAAAAAACCTTATCAACATTAACAAAATTTATTTCAACATAACAATTAATTAAATAACAATATAATAACTAGAAAATACTTCCTAAAACACACAGTAGATTTCTTAATCCATGTGTACGATCACAAGCAGCTATTGCAGCAGCAGTTCGATCATTTAAAGGGCTTTGGTTTGTAAGCAGATATAAATTATTTATATCATCCTTAAATGAATTATTTGCATTACTGTTTGTGGTATTAACTACAGGGTCTGTGTCATTCAGCCACGGCAACCATCTATATTCAAAGTTAGCCGGATCAGATCTCGCATCTAATGCTAGCGGTCCTCTCCTTAACTGCATTGCCCACAAGACTTGTAATTTGCTTATAAGTGAAGCAGCTACTTTTGTGCCACGATCCCATAGATCGTGACTTTCAGATGGATCTTGCTTAACATTGTACAAGCAACCGCGGACTGTAATATAAAATAAGAATTTCTTATTCGTAATGCGAAATAAATGACGATAATATTGATGTAAGCAATGAATTGAGATATTCATACAAGTTGGGAATTCGTATTTAATATTCATATTATAAAATATATAAATATAATATTCATATTATAAAATATGTGAAAGTTTTTGAGTACGTATGGATGTTTGTTACTCTTTCACGCCACAACGGCTGAACAGATCTGGATGAAATTTGGTACAGAGACAGATTATAGTCTGGAATAAAATGCTAAAAATATATAGGCTTTTTATCCCGAAAAATGTACGGATCCCGTGGGACAGGTTTGTTTTTGTTTTCCTAAAGGTGAAAGCGAGCGAAGCGAGGGTGAGCCGCTAGTTACAAAATATTAATATTAAATTCAAAGTTCAGATTTATCTGTGAATTAGCAAATAATTGCTTATTTTTTTATACAGGCGTTAATGTTTTATCAAGAGAATTCACTGATTAGCGCTGACCGACAAACAATGCACAGCCTAAACCTTTATTGCTTGGAAACTAGAATGAATTGTTACACATTTTTTATTCATCCTATAAAAGATGGTCTTTAAAGACCATAAACGGGGGAGAAATATTAGTATGAATATTAATACCTAAGCTTCTGTTAATATAGCCTATGGTAAAACCCTTGGGACCACTGCTTATAACAAAATAAAGCTACATATTCAGTCCTAATCAAATATGATATTCACTTACTTTGATATTATCACAGATCATATACTACACTAATTGATTACTACTACTAGATAATACTATTTACATTTGAAGTATATTGTTATTATTGCATATTTAAAAATTATCATTTCTTGAAATATGAAAACATAACATTTAAAATATAAATAAATATAACTTACTTGGTGTAGGTTCACAAGGAATTAAATCTCTTACACGGTCAAGTTGATTTATTGTAGTTGCTTTCCTCATAGACAATACTTGGTCGTAATCTAATGTGAGACCATATCTTTCAAATACTTTAGCAACTTCACTGGACCGAAGGGCTGGGAAATAATCAGGTGTACGACCGTTGATCCTCAGAAAATCTGCGCCATAATATCCATTGCTCAACCCTGATACATTGCCTACGATAATTTTATAGTCGCCCGATCGGAATGATGCATAGGTATTTGTAGAGCTATCATCAATAGCTATTAGAACGTCTTTTCTTCTAGACTCTCGGTCTTGGAATATGGATTCCCATTGATTAATTCCATCGATCTGCGCGTTTATTTCGCCTCCAGCGGCTGCTACTAGTGTGGGCAACCAATCAGTTATATGCATAAGACCGTCCCATACTTTAGGCTTGAGGGTTGGATGCCAAATAAAAGCTGGCACTCTGACTGCTCCTTCCCATGGTGTCTGTTTTTTACCTCTAAACGGTAAATTTACACCCCAATTATTAAACTGACCCACTGTTGGTGCTCCATTATCTGATACGAATACTATTAAAGTATTATGTAATATTCCTTTATCCGCGATAGCTCTTATTACTTTTCCAATACTTTCATCCAAATGAAAAACGACCTCTGCAAAAAAAACTATTATATACAGCAAGCAATCCTTCTAATATAAAAATAATGACTTATACGGTAAGTAAATTTAACAATTAGACAGATAGAAGAAATTAAAGTTATGCATGAGGGAATCTATTGAAAATTTAAATAACAAGTTCATGCAACTGTAATAGTTGCAAAAAAATTTCGACAAAATTGGGCAAATCGGATACAATATAACTATTAACTATTACTTATTTAATAGGCATTTTAACACTTTTGCACATTGAAATTTTGCATGCATACTTTTATCTAGGAAACGAACTTAGCATTACAAACAGCTACGTAATAGGAGAATTTAAAATTGTTCAAAATTGACAAAAAAAATAGTTTTATTTGAATATCTAAAAGATGAAATAGAATTAAAGTTAACCCAACATTAATATATTGATTATCCTAATATGTATTTAGTCCTTTTTGACGTCCTACTGCTGGGCACGAGCCTCTCTTCAATACGAGGGGGATCAGGCCATAGTCCACCACGCTGGCCAAGTGCGGGTTGGCATTCTACTGATATTACCTAATTGATCGACTTCAAAAAAGGGAAGAGGTTCTTGGTTTCGTTTTTTTTCTGTTCACGTTACGATATATTTTCTGCAATTGTGAACCCATTACTTAACATTACCTTACATTTTTATTTTCATAATTCTGATTTTTTTTATAAATATGTTAAAAAAAGCTTATACCTCTGCGGGTCGACATCAAGAAATAAATTACGCAGAATAGAATAATTAACTTTTTAGATCTCACCGTGCCAGCATAGCGTTGCTGACACGAGGACTCTGGCCTATGAGAGTATGTTTGTGGTTTTATGGTAAAACCTGGTTAAATTTATCTGTATTCAGCCCTTTTTTAACGTCCCACTGCTGGGCACGGGCCTCCCTTCAATACGAGGGGACTCAAGCCATAGTCCACCACGCTGGCCAAGTGCGGGTTGGCGGACTTCACATGTCTTTCGAAAACTTGCTAGGTTTTCTCAGACCTGTAGATTTCCTCACGATGTTTTCCTTCACCGTATGACAAGTGGTAATCATGTTGAAAATGATTCGCACATGAAAATATCAGAGGTGTGAGACCTTGCGGCATTTAAACCCGCTTCAATGGGTTACCCAAGCGAGCGCGTTACCACTGGGCTACCACTGCCTCACCTAAATCTGCCTAATATCCATAATAATAAATTATAAGTAAAGTGTAATGCTGTGGACATCACTTACTTGCATATAAACGTCTATTAGAGTGTGCAATATGACGGTTCTTGACTGTAGAGTAGAGCGGTGGTTGTAACAGGCCGCCGTCATTGCCCGCGTGGGGTGCACTATGTGCCAGGTGCAGGAACAATGGATTTGACTCGTTGTGATTTCGAATTACTATGAAATAATTAGTTTGTAAGTTGTTGTTTATATTAAATCGTGTAGATATTGATTTTAAAAGTATACAACAAATGTTCCTATGATAGTACTATTCACGTTCAAATTTTTTGCTAGATAGAAACCTAGCCGACAAAGCAAATTTTTATTTCTAAAAATATTTCAATCTCTTAATTATCTATACTCGTTGTAGGGGGTATTTTTTCTGCTTCTTATTAAATTTCATCTAAATCGATTTAGTAGATACAGAGATTACCCCCCACAACCTCACAAACTTACAAACTACCTCATTATAATATAAGTAGGTATAGATTATTATTGACGGACTGTACATAATACATTTTTTTTCTTATAAATATGCGACCATCTTCGATGTCGTCTAAAATAATGTCAAATACACCATTGCAGACGACATCAGATAAAAAAAATAATAACACGTAATATTGTTATTAAAGTAAATGAAAACAAAAAAACATTGGGTTTTTTATATGTACAATGTAATATATATAATTATTAACGTTTTTTGAACTGTGGTGTCGTGTAAGTATTAACTGTTGAATTATAATATAACTTATAATTGTTAATATAACATATTATATAGGTATATAGTGTAATTATTAATATAATATTTAAAAAAAAACAACTGTTGACTTTCTTGCCGGCTCTTCTCAGTAGCTTTCTTACAGTCTTACAATATTGAAGTTTAATTTAATGCAAGAATTTTAATTTTGCTTGTAAGAATCTATTCGAATAACGTATTTTTTGATTTCAGTAGACCATTCTATATATAAATAGGCAAAGACAAAACATGTCTTTCTCCTCTTATTTATTAAGCGATTTTTGTTTAGTAGCTATTAACGAGCTTTAGTTTTTATTAATGAAAAATTTTGGTGACAGCTTTTTTAAGCATTTAGTATAAACTTCAATAATGATTTTAATCGAATTTCAACCACCGAGGGAACAAAAGTTATTTAAAAAACATAGATAGACTGACACTTAAATTTTATTATAAGAACCTATCTTAATATATATAATTCTTCTGTACGTGTGTATGTTAACCTAGTCCTCCTAAAGGACAGGACCGATTTGGATAAAATTTTGTGTGTATATTTCAATGGGTTCCTGGATGGCTTGAAAATACAAATGGACCCAGTAGGTGGTGCTTCAGTCAGCGTGCCACTGATCATCTCCTAAATGGCAGGGACGATTTTAATGATGTTTTTTGTGTATCTACCAGTAGGTCCGTGCAAGGTTGGAATTCACAAATGGAATCAGTAGGTGACGCTGCAGTCGACTTTCACTAAATTTTCATAAAAGACTACATTTTCCGAGAAATAAATAAATTTAAATTGTTGATTAAATAAAATAAAAAACGATGTGTGTATGAATGTTTCCTATGGACTCCAAAACAGCTGGAGCGATTTTGATGAAATTTTCAGGTAATATTCAGACTAGCCCAGCGGGTCATCCTGTGAATTTTGTTAGCGATCGGGAGATTGGACGCGAGCGATTCCATGGATACTGCTAGTATTTTATATTTCATATTATAATCTTCTATCTAGTATCGATGTAGACAAAGTCACGAGTAAAAGCTTGTAATTCTATAGTATAAGTGAATCTACATACTATTGTACGTAGTATTTGTTTTTAATACCGTTTGTCGCTTGTGGTGAAACGTTGGTAGTTTTATGTTAACAACATGCCCAAAATTTGCGGTCATGTTTATGTGGTTAGAATTGTAGTTTTACTTTGCCTGCAATATTGTTCATACTTAGTACGATATTTTAGGTTTACGAATGGTAATGGACATATAAATTACTTAGTGGCTGGTAAAATATGTATGTTGTATGTGTATATGTTATAGACATGATATAAACGCCGAACACAAAACTAAACCTAAAAGATTGCATTATGCTTGAATAATATAGGCTACTTTCATTGTGACTTTAAAAACAAGCTTTTGCACATTGCTCCACCCGCGTGGTACGTACGAGTAGATACTTAAATATCTATACATATAATAAAATTGTAACTAAGCCGAATCTGTACATTAAATATTTTTTGGAAAATCTTATTGAAATAAACATTATTATCGATACAGATGCCGAATCTATAGTTTTCAGAATTTTTGTCTGTCTGTTACCGCATCACGTAAAAACTACTGGAGGGATTTTGATAACAATTGGTATGGTGATAGCTGGTTATTCGGGTCAACATATAGGATACTATTTACGACGGGAAAATATGTTATTTCTGAGAAAAAATGCAAAAACTGCAATGTAAGAGTATACTAATCTGTAAAACCTAAGAATTTGGTTTTTGGTTATCTAAACGCGGGCGGAGCCGCGGGCAATGCTAGTATAATATACAATCCGAATTTCATACAAATCCGTTGAGCCCTTAAAGCCTGGGTGTAACGAAGTCAAAAATAAACTCGCAGACTTACATGTAATTATGCTAACATTTTGAAGAAAGTTTTAAATATATTTTTTAATTTAAGTGTTTTATAAATGTTTACCCATTTTATAGCAGCTTCAATGTCAACTTCTAGGAAAAATTTTCTCTTTATAGAAAACATCATGAGTAAACCAAGTAGGTATATTAGCTTAAATAAGTTTTCAAATTACCTCAATACTTTCAATTAATAAGCATTTGTTTTAATTATATGTAATCATTTTTGGAGTAAGTATCATGTTTCTAACTCGCTTATCGATATATTATAATGTGCATGATGAATTTTTAATAAGAACGAAGGTTTTTAAAGAGGTATTACATATGCTTACCCTGGCCTCAAATAAAGTAGATAGTATGATAAAATACAAAAGAATTAAAAAATATAATTAACATATGTCCTCCTTACAAAAGATATTTATTTATGTTGCTATAATATTTTTTTGGGTGACACCATTAAACTTTTTAATTTAGTTAATTTTAACAAGCCATATATTTATATCGATTATTTATTATCATGTGAACCAAAACATAGACCATCACTTGTTTTTTTTATATCAAAAAGAGTTTATATATATTTTCGAATAAAAACGAAAATTATATATAGAAATAAGTACATTAAAAGTCATAACTACACTCTAAAAGTCTTCAGATAATAATATTTTATTTTTTAATAAATATAAACACTAAGCTATAATCACCATTATCGCAAATATTCAGTAATTACAAACAAAAGCTTGTATTAAGGGAACACAACGCAAATTTAGCTCCGACGCGTAATACCAAGTTTTACACGGCTTATGTACCAATCTACAAACAATACCCATGCACAAGGGATATTTAGGTTTCACATTTAGTAAGTACTAGCATTGCCTGCGTTATACTACCAAAAACCAAATTCTTTTTCATATTGTTATACCAATTTCATCACAACAAAATTGGAAATAAATGGGGGTTGGCAATGCCATAAATGTTTCTCCTTTAATATCTTGTAAAGTTTAGTTATATTACATCTTAAAAAGAAATTTTTTAGTACATCTATGTACACACTCGTACTAATATCACAAAGATAAAAGGTGTTTGCTATATGACTACTTAACCAATTTAAAGTAATAAATAGTTATTATTTTAAACTGCTTAATAATATTTTTTCTTAATATTAAAGTCTCGTGAAGCGAGATGGGCCGCTAGTTGGTTATATTTTGCTGGTCGAACCGATTTTTTAATTAAAATTTTTGTTCTGATCTTAAAATATAAAGAAGATAAATGCCTTTAGAAATAATGTAATTTTTGTAAGGATTTTTTTGTTAGAGCCCACCGATATTACCCGAGTTATATGACTCTTAAATTCGTAAACATTAAATTCATCATCCTGTTTCTCTACCTTTTAAAAAATGATGTGAAGAAAATTGTTTTTTTTTTAAAGAAAAAGAGCTGCCAAAATACTCGTCACGAAAACTTATTTGCAAAATATACGTTGAATAGCTTTTTAGATGATATGGAGTATTTTCAGTTACACACTATGTCAGTTTAGAAATCGGAAAATTTACCTTGTTTTCCATCATATGTAAAGAAAATAGCATCTAGCACAAACGTATTTTCCGATCGATACAATGTGTTGATATTGTGAGAACTTAAATATTCGTTTTTTATTTTAGTGTTGACCTTACAATATACCTACGTAAGTAAAACCAACACAGTATTTAGCGGTACGGACCCTTAGATGCTGGATGCAGACTCGAAATAACATGTATTTCTTTATTATAAAAAAAAAACAAAACTTACGATATTGCCTCTTTAAATTGTACATAGAATTTAAAATTACTTAAAAGTAACTATTTCACCGTGAGGGGCGGGTGTTTTTAAGTCTAGATGGGAACACCTACATACATACATATATGGTATAACTTGTTTACTGTAACAGTGTAATAATCGTTGGCTCACTATTACAAGGTTCTATGTTAAAATTTTAGTACTTATTTAGTTATGAATGCTACAAGATTCTATGTGTTATTAGCTACAGTTTTGCAAAAACAAACCACTAGATAGCGGCACTTTACCTACAAAATATTCAATTTTACATAGTTCTATGTTGTTTTTTTTACGATAACAAAATAACGAAGTTCTATGTAAAAATTACTAAACTTCATTAACATAGAACCTTGTAATAGTAAGCCAACGAATTATGTTAACAATTACCATCAACAATTTCTTAACAAAGAATAAAATGTACTAATAAAAACACAATGTATGACATCCATTTTGCTTTATCGTAAAAACAAAAAGACTAATACATAAAAGCATGAAAGCGGCTTCATCGGAAATGCAGGTTTGATTCTCGCGCACAACAAATCTCTATATTGAGGATATTATGTATGGTTATTAGTTTGTCCTTCTGTAATGTACTAGCTACGAATTCACATAATTTTATTAAGATACCTTCTTAGAGTACTGTTACTAACTAAATCATAAAATTAGTGACGTAAGAGTATAGCTGTGTTACATTTACAATAATAAGTTTAAAACAATGTGTAGTAATTTCGAAACAAAAGTACATAAGAGAAATAATATACTGTAATAATATTACATATTAAAATACTTACTATTTATAGCTCTTTCAGTCAACACATCTGTGATATATCTATCCTCGTCATCTAGTGGGTTGGAGTTATCGAAAAGATCTAAGCCGAAGAACTCTCTACCATTCGGCCACTAAAAGTAAAAAATCATATACATATAGTGTAATTTATGTTTAATTAACAATATTATAGGTAAAATATTATAAATAACATAGACATAAATAACAAGATTTCTCAGAGACGAAATATTTTCACGCAGAAAAATAATCCTATAGGAATGTTGACTCGCATAGCTATCTAATTTCATTAAAATCTTTCCAGTCATTTTCTCGTGATGCTTTCCCAGACAGACGGACAAAAATTCTAAAAGCTGTAGATTCGGCCACTGTATCGATATTCTATTTCATTTTATTTATATAGATATTAGTTAAAAATAATACAGATTTGTTTAAATACTGACGACTTACATACCCTCGCTCTTAGATAGGTATCTAAAAGGTGTTTTTTAAGTCATGTCTAAATCCGTCCATTCGTTTCAGCCTGAAGTAGTACCAAAATTATAACATACACATATAAAGTGATATATTTATGATAATAGAGTGATTCGTAGGCATTGAATCTGTCCCCCCCAACGTGCGTTCACCTTGTCGTGGTGGGGGGGCTCAGTAGTAGTAGCGAAGCTAAGAAACGCACAGGGAGGTTGCCCACTTCGGTGGGCGGTGGGAGGTGGCCCTCTTCGGGGGGCGGTGTACCTTGCGGGTTGCTCCTGGTACTTCTCTGATAGCAGAGTGGACCTTGGAGCAACCCCATGGTTGTGGTGGTCTGCTTTGGCAGACCTGCCGTCGGGGCGTCGTAGTTGAATGCGTAAGCGATCCTGCGACGCCCCATTAAGACGGGGGAAGGTTTTGTTGGGTTTTAGTGGGTAGTACTGGCTCTATAACGCCGGTGCGTCCCACACGTCGTGCGTAAATGCATTTCCCAACGTTAAAAAAAAAAAGGCATTGAATCTGTCGCATCACTGAGTCAAAGAGCTAACTGGTTAAATAACTTTAATTTGCTATGTTTTTGCTCAAACTGCCTCGACGGTCTCGTGGCTAGCTTATACGGCTACAGATCCGAAGGTCTTGTGTTCCAGTACCGGTTCAGGCTAAGTTTAATTACTGAATTTTTCTGTTAAGATGTTCTCAGTAACAGCTTTAACAGTCTCAGCTGGCGGTGTTTCACCCCCGTGCCTCGGACATCAGGTAAGCCATCGGTCCTGCGCCTTAACTCTCACAGGTCGTGTCGAAGTATCGTCGCACCGGGCTTTCAAAGTAAAAGGAATACAGTGTGCACGTTGTGTCTGCGCGTACATTATAATATATATTAAATCGATCAGGACGATATTATTGTCATGTTTTTGTCGTCTTCATGACAATAGCTAAAAATTATTACATATTACCATGTAAAAAAAGTGATACTATGTGTAAATATATACGAACGTGATGTACCACAATGTTTAAAATTTCATGTCCCTTAACGTTTTAACAACTCTATAATTTTAACACCTCTCTCTCTCTCTCTCGATCTCTCTCTCTCTCTCTCTCTCTCGCTCACTCTATCTTTTTTCTTATGTATAAAAGAAAAAAATATAAGTTTTTTAGATCTTTATCTATTAGGATTAATATACTTTTACACAATCGCATAGTCGGCATAAATTCTCTGTATAAGGATAATGAACCCAAAAATTCAATTTAAGTAGACCCTTGCTCTACAATGCCAAGATGGTCATTTTTGTCATATCTATTTTTCGTCACTTAAAAGCGACTGGTTAATGCTTTTAATTTGTAATTGTCCAAGCAAAGATTTTAAGGTACAAAATTAAAGAAATGAGTAATTCTGGAAAAACTGGGTTTATCTATATAAATTTTATATAACTTCAACAACCATTGAAACCATATTTGACCATAAAATAAAATAATATACTTTAACAATAAACGTATAAACGCTTAAAGAATTATAAATTAAAATTTTGTATGAATTTCTTAATATTTCATATACTCAAAGCTCTAACAGTCAACTATGCGAGTAAAGAACCGCCGAGCAACTGCAAACTATGTTTCTTTGTGAGAACTTATTTAAGAGCCAAAGTGGAATGCCTTAAATATTTTAACGATATAAATTTTACACCATGTAGACTGTTATTTTAATTGAAATTTTTGAACAAACAAAACTTATATATTTATTCAATATTATTTTATTTTATAATAAGTTATATAATAATATAGTATCTAATATATGTATATAGTAGTAATATAGAAGGTAACTTCATGTTATTTACGCGGAACAAACAGTGAAAATAAAGTCCTACATTCTCATCACACATCACATTCTATTCATGACTTTTGATAAAATGAGTAGTATTTTTGTATTTCCTTAAATATTATCGTCAAGGTCAAGTCAATACATACGAGGCTCTTTATTTTAAACGTACAAGTTACATACATTTTGTGATCGCTTTTTAAAAGCTTTTATTTTGAAACCATAATCGACAGCTTTGAAAAAATCTATACATATAATAAGATTCTAAGTCAAATCTGTACATTAAATATTTTTTAAAAAATCTTATTGAAATAGACATTATTATCGATACAGAGGCCGAATCTATAGTTTTTAGAATTTTTGTCTGTTACCGCAACACAGAAAATCTACTGGAGGGATTTTGATGAAATTCGGTATGGTCCTACCTGGTTATTCGGGTCAACATATAGGATACTTTTTACCGCGGGAAAATATCTCATTTCTGAGAAAAAATACAAAAACTGCACTGTAAGAGTATACTTATATGTAAAACTTAAGAATTTGGTTTTTGGTCATCTGAACGCGGGCGGAGCCGCGGGCAATGCTAGTTAATTATAATAATCGAATAATTAAGAATTTATGTCAATGATTATATCCAAACAATTGAGCCCATTATAATGGCATATACATATGATATAAATATATGTAAAATGAAATTTTGGAGGTAAAATGCTGAAAAACGGACGGGGATTCAAAAATAGATAAGTTTTATTTCAATTATTCGAAAAGATACAAAAGCATATACATGTAAAGCGGCAAACACACTAGTTAAACTATCTTTACAAATATTAGAAATGTTTGAATGTGTATGTTAGTATGTCAGTCTTTCATGTAACAATGGTATGGCAACATTTAGAAGAAATTCATTAATTTTTCATCAAAAATGACATTTTTAAATCGATTGAACGAAACAAAAAAAATTAAGTACTCAAACATACTTACCGTTTCAACTTTATGATGAGTATACGCATCTGTGAATCCGCCTCTTATTCCGAGGTGTGTATCGTATCCTCTAGATAATGGCAAATATTCTTGTCTTGACATCCCCACATGCCATTTTCCAACCAAATGTGTCAAATAACCTAAATCTTTTAAATATGATGGCAAAAGTCGTTCTGATATCGGGATTCCGCGATCTTCTGAGTTGTACAAAGGCATTCCTTGCATACCTGTACATCAAACGATTATATGAACAACCGGTTCTATGCTATTGTTCTAAATTATCATTATCATTATTTATGCAACAATTTTTCCCATGACACTGGCTGAGCCACTTACAAACTGTGTTGCAGATAAACTTATACTAATCATTCTATTTCTTAACAGATCAAAGTTGTTTATTTTTTTGGAAAATTATTATAAAGTTATGATTATATTCGGTTAATCTTTGATTTGCTTTAACACAGAATTTAATCGATAGTTATTTAACAGTCACTACAAAATCACCTAGATATTCAGAATTCTATATTATTGTTAAAACATTGAATAAAATAAAAACTTTTTAACAAAAAATAAAACCGACTTCCAGACACTAAAATGTATAAAATAACTAAACCGAGGTTTTCATTTAGAATAGGTATGTACCTAATCAGATATTTTCGAAGTTGGTGCCAGCCGATGCAAAGCAAATCTAATGTATTTCAATACGTAAAATACATACATATTTAACTATTAGATATTCATATCTTAAAATATTGTCCGCTGGCACCGACTTCGAAAATATCTGATTAGGTATCTATTCTAAATGAAAACCTCCGTTTAGTTATTTTTTACATTTTAGTACCTGGAAGTCGGTTTTCTTTTTTTTTTTTGTTAAAAAGTTTTTATTTTTGCATTTTTAGTGTAGACGTAATAAGCATTTAATTTGTTAGAACAAAGTTTTTTAATAACATTCCGACGAAAAAAGATTCCGACGAATTGAGAACCTCCTCCTTTTTGGAATTGGAAGTCGGTTAAAAAAACTATATCAGTAAGAAGCGATCTTTTCCCTATAGACTTCGACAGAACAAATGCCGTTTCCACATAGGCCTTTACAAATCCAAGAATGATCTAAATTGCATCTCGTGTAACGCATGAAGCGTGGAGCAAATGAGTGTCGAAATAAAAATTGCTATCGTTTCATTTATTAACTTATTGTTTTTATACATATTTATCCTCGTAAAAAGGGATCATTTTTTTAAAATCTTTTAAAATTATATAAAACGTCCGTATATAAATGTAATTTGAAACAAGATTATACTTTTCTATATGAGACTTTTTCTTCTTCATTTTTCTATTCTATAGTATTTTTTAAATCAGTTAAATAGTTTCATATATCCCGTAAATATAAGTGCAAAAATTAACTAAATGTAAAATAATATTACAATCTTAAAAATTAAATATTAAAAAAAAACAAATTAATAATACTTAGTCGATAGCAATAAGTTATATTATAACACTAACAACTCACCCTCGGTTCGCTCGGGTTCGTCCTTAGTGAACAACAAAAACAAATCTATCCCACAAGAAACGTATATTTTTTCGGAATAAAAAGTAGCCTATGTGTTATTCCAGACTATAATCTATTTTTGTGATAAATTTCATCCAGATCCGTTCAGCCGTTCTGGTGTGATTTAGTACCGAACATCCATGCAAACCTACACATTTATAATACTAGCGGCTCACCTTTGCTTCGCTCGGTTTCGCCTCTAGGAAAACAAAAACAAACCTACTCCACGGGAATCGTACATTTTTCCGGGATAAAAAGTAACCTATGTGATATTCCAGACTATAATCTATCTATGTGATAAATTTCATCCCGATCCATTCGGCCGTTCTGGCGTGAAAGAATAATAAACATCCATACTCACAAACTATCACATTTATAATATTAGTATAGATTAAATGGGATTATATAACTAACATTTACTGATCTTCCCCATTAAAAATATTTCTAGTGTAGACTTCCCCATTGTCTTCCATTTCCATTATACATACTGTTAATTATTATTCTTTCAATAAAATGTGTAACTTGCCTAATCTCATGGGATATTTTCCTGTAAGCAACGCAGTGCGAGCCGGAGTGCAAATGGCTTCACTGTAATATTGCTGGAACACGACACTTTGGGAGGCGAGCGTGTCAATATTAGGGGTCAGAATTTGATCTGATCCATGAAATGACACGTCATTCCAACCCTGGAATTAAAATTAGTTTTATAATGGTATAATCATACGATTATTATTAAATACTAATTTATTACTAAGAATAATTGGAAATAAAAAAATGACTTTTATATGTACTGTAAAATGTACGGTAGGTATATGAAGATTTATATATTAAGTCAAAATATTTAAAGTCAAAATTCATCTCATTTTTGTTGATTAATAAAAAAAAATATAAATTTTATATTGAAAATATTCTTCTACTACTATTTTCGTGAGAAACGACTTCAACTGTTATTTGTTTGAACCAGATTAGATTAATTAGCTATAGGTAGGTTTTTTAAAGAAATATTTCTTAAATACAGATGTTCGAAGTACGAAAAAAAACTAGCAAAAAAACAAATAAAGCAAGCAATGAAATGAGACAGCAAATTTTTGCGTGTTTCACTAAATTGTGCGATTTTTAAATACTAATAGTATGCTATAATATTATAACTAGTTTTCGAGCCGAACGATGTGATCTGTACTGCACTAGTCCACACTTTTTGTTTTGACAATGCCCATAGAGCATCTGTTTAATCAACACAAAGAAGTTTGACACTCGATGTCTGCTACAAATTCAACATTTGCAACTACGTCACGATCAAATTGTATGGCTCTGAATTAAAATTCATTTTTATCATTATTATTACATTTATACCATTTATTTGAACAGCTTTTTTAAAAAAAATATATTTTAATATACAAACCGTTTATGAATACATAAAAATTAATAAATTATATTTATATTATTTACTTTATGCACATAAGTATGATTAATCTACAAGGATGTATATACAAGTTGTTTAAGTAAAAATATTTCTTTTTATTTCCTTATATGCCTATCTACCATCGAATTATATCGAATGACTATTATTATCATCGTAGTTATTTACACAATAATAAAATGTAATTGGTATCACGTTTCTTCTTTACTCATGTTTTAGTGGAGAGATGATCAAAATCAGTTAGATAAGAGATGAACTAATATATGGCAAGATTATTATATGCACTTGAAAATTTAAGTATGGAACTTGAAAATTTAAGAAAAAGTTATAACATTGTTGTAAAGAGATATTTTTTATCTCATCAGGTCACTCTTGTCGTTATTGCAATGGCCGGGCGTCAAGCTAAGAGATGCATGTGGAAGACAGCCCTCAGCCTCAATTGATGTTGGGAGGTGTACCACGCGGGTCGCTCTTGGCGCTTGACAACAGAGTGGTCAGTGAGAGCAACCTGGTTGTCGTGGTTTGGTAAGAAGAAAATCTCATTGGTTATAAATAAATAAATAAATATGTTGGGACATTAACACACAGCGCCATCTAGTTCCATGGTAAGCTACGAGGCTTGGGTTATGGATACCAGATAGTTGATACACTACATATATATAACTTTAAATACATACATATTATAAATATAAACACCCATGACTGGAGTACAAACATTCGTGCTCATCACACAAATGAATGCCCCCAGCGGGACTCGAACCCGCGACCGTTGGCACAACTAGTAGGGTCACTACAAACTGAGCCAAACATGTCATCAAGTCATGTCGTTAGATTGGGTTTTAGTGAATAGTACTTGCTATTCCAGCCGGTAATTCACCATATTGCCACCTATTGTATAGGCGGTAGGAGTAAATTTCACAACGTTAAAAATAGTAGATTTAATTTATTTATAGTATAAAATAAACTGTATTTTGTTTTTACCATATCATCAACCATGATGTACAGAATATTGGGTCTCTTTAAAGCATATCCGCTCGCAACAGATATGCTTAATGATATCCACAATATCCACCTGAAATAAAAATGGAAAGATATAAATTTACAAAATATTATGTTCACTGAAACCTGTCATAAATGACAATTAAAAAAATGTGTGCTTCATTCTAGTATACCTATAGTCAAATTACGAGTGTAAAAGTGGATGTTTTACACTAACAGAACCCACGACTTCGCTTGGACTTTGGGACCCGCATTTTTGAAATGGGCTAATTAGTTTCTGAGCTTAAAGCACTTACCTATGTATATTTTTAATATATATTATAAGCATCAGTTTGATAATAATAATGTATGGATGTCTGCCCGATTTGTTGATATGTTTATGATATGTAGCTTTCGTCAAAACAGGCTATCTAATGCAAAAAAGAATTTTTAAATCGGATTAGTAGTTCCAGTGATTAGCGCGTTCAAACAAACAAACAAAAATCTCTTTATAATATTAGTATAGATTTTATGTTACATTTTTAGAACCCATTTCTAAGATTCGGTACAAAAAATAAAAAACTGAAATGTTATGTATACAGTGAAATGAAGTAGAGTATTTGTCAAAAATGAATAATTTTTAACATGTTACTTTACTTACTTTAATTGAGCTTAGTTTACTGAAAAATATATCTTATATCTTTAAACGAGCAAGTCTTGTGTGTAAATATATATATATATATATATATATATATATATATATATATTTCGAATGCTTTTACAGCAAATATACTCACATGATCCAAAATATAAAATGAAACCGTGACTTAATCCGAAAAGAATTTTTTATATATTATTTCTTGGCTTATAATAATAAATAGATGTCATTATTATTAATATAAAATGAAAAATATTTCTATTTTTAGATATTTTTTTGAAGAAAATTAATGTAAAGATATATAAGAAACTATATAAAAATTTCTACACAACTACCTATATATAGTCCAAGATCCCAGGGCCACCAGACGTCACGTATTTTCTGACGAAAGAAATGTGAACGATTGGGTAGCGTTAGTAACTGCCTCGGTGGTGTAGTGGCTAGCATGTACAGCTGCCCACCCGGAGGTCCTGGGTTCGAGTCCCGGGTCGGGCCAGGTTTAGTTATTGAGTCTTTCTGTATAGTAAGCCTCAGTAACAGCCCGAAATTAGGAAGTTGGAGATGTTGCACCCCCGTGCCTCGGAGAGCACGTAAAGCCGTCGGTCCTGTGCCTTAACTCTCACCGGTCGTGTCGAGCAATCGTCCCACCGGAGTATGAGAGTGTCAGTAATTATATATAAATTTTAGTCCACATTTCGTTAGTCAGAAAATACGTGACGTCTGGTGGCCCTGGGATCTTGCTCTAATAGATAAAATGATTTTAACGTAAACTGGCAGTTTTTTTCTACACATATTGGTCGAAAACAACAATATACCCATCTTGTGGGATATTAAATGAAAAACTTATGAAAAGATAATATTTGATAGTATAGGTACGTGTAATTTAAAATCACAGATTCAGATAATTTCATAATGTTATTATGAAAACTATTATTTTGAAATAGACAGTAACATTTTTATTAAAATTATTAATTTTAATTTTATAAAACAATACTCAACGAGGAAAAATATGTTAAACATAACTTCCTTGTGTAAGACGTGAGTCACAAACAAGGACGTACTCTTGATCTTATACTCGTATCTTAATCTCTTTATAGACTTAATCGTCATAATTAAAAAGACATCATCTCAGTTCTTATTTTAAGACAATTTTTAATTTAAATAATTGTTATTTATCTAAGTTAAATTAAAGAAATTTGTATGTACATATATGTACTATATTATAAATAAATATACATAGGTAAGTATCTCATTCATATACAAAATGGAAAATCTAACTGTTGTAAAGCTTCAATTAATATTATGCATGCGGGCATAAGCATCGTAATCAAGCAGCCTAAGCGCAAGATTGACAATCACAGATGTGCGAGTTCGAATACCAGTCAGATACAAAGTAGTTTTTTTGTATTTATTCAAGTTTTTAGTTTTTTTTAAAGAAATTTGTACTTTTGGCCAAAAACTCCGAGCGAAGCTCGGTTACCCAGGTACTCACTATCAAACTGAGCTACTGATGGGTAATTCTATATTGTATTTGCATATTCAAAATAGCATGGCATTGTTTGTAATGGTTATCGCAGTGAAAACTTTTCGGGTTATTTATATATAATTTGACTTGAAACAGACTGTACAGCCGATAAATAAATATCCTGTATCTTGTATCTTTATAATTTAAAACAAAAAAGAATAATAGCTTACGAATTAATGATCTTCCATTGTTCAAAGATATTAAAAGTAATTGTTTTTTAACATATAATAACAAATACCTATATAATTCACAGTTTTCCGTTTTTATAAAGATTATTATAAAAATAGAGATATTTTACGTGATAATATTCTCTAGATCTATAATATAACATAAACCTACATATTTAAAGTCAGTACATACTACATAGATATTTTGCTTTTCACGAATTCACTAATGGAGGATTAAGATATCGTCGCGTAATGGAGAGTGTGTAACGTCATTACGTCAAAAATAATAATTGAAAAGGCACGTCTAAAGCCAGCTTTATACATCCTATGACAGTTGTCAAAACATTTTCTGAGAGGCATCGAAATTACTAAGATTCGAGATTTACACAAGAACAGTTAATCGTAAATTGCTGTGTGTAAGAGTAAGAGAAAATCAAAACATTAGTGAAAGGCATCGAAATTAATAGAAGTTTTGAATTCAGACAAGAATATTTAATCGTAAATTGCTGTGTGTAAGAGTGAGAGAGGAACAAATTTTTGGAATACTAGAATGTTCTTTGTTTATGCATATAAAAAGGCCGGCAGTGTGTAGATCAGTTGAATTTCGAAGCTAAGTGAAAACTTAGAAGAAGTACGAAAAAGTGAAAAGAGAAGAAAAGTGGAGTGAAGTTATAGTGAAAGTGTATCCAGTGCTGAAAATTAGTGTTCATTGACTGAGTTTACCCAAAACTATGTATAGGTATACCTACTGCACGTGTTGGTGAATCTCCATAAGTCTCTCTTGTTAATTAAAAGCATTAAAACATCAATAGTGTAAAAGACGTGCTATAATTTCCGATCCCGAACTCATAGAACGTAACAATATTCATGAAGTAACATGCCTTGGTGAATATTGTTATGTTACTGGAGATGGATTCGACCCTACTATTGAGTAGAACAGTGAAAATTTTTGGTTATATAACCAAATATTTATTAATTTATGTAAATAATTTTATATTTTTAGTGTTTTTATTGAAGTCTGTTCGTTTCGTTTTCTTAATACATATTTTAAATTATAGAGAAATGAACGAAAATGCACACAAAATTTTCAAAATGTCATAGAGATCATTATCCCTACATCTTTCATAATTAATTATAAACTTAAGGCAAAAACAGTTTTATTTAAATGCTGGTTATTTACACTTTTTCGTTAGGGTCCCTAGGTGCCTAATAATAGCTTATGTCATATACGTATACATCAGTGCCATTTATTTGTGTATTTATTTGGTATCGAAGTTCTTATAAATACATACATATAGTCGATGGTGTTTCATAATCTACTTCTTCCAATGATAAGTACCGCATGCATAATATATTTGTACAGGAAAATGTAAAAGTAAATGTTAACAAAATAAACGAGATAGTAAGTCATTAAAAAAAAATAAGCAAGCCAACCACAAATATAACAGAACAGTATAAAAAAAATGGGTGCGTGTAACCTTCACGCGCGGTTGAATGGCGAATATCGCAATAAAATTAAAACAAATCAATAATTAAATAAGGAATATTAGGCATATTACAATCATATATTTATAGAATATCATATACGGAAAGAATATAATATTATATATTTGTCCAACAATAACAACGGTTAGGTACCGTGGCAACATGGCAATGTATTCTATCTCATTCTCTTGTCGGCTTAATCCTATATAATATTTATGTGTATGTCTATTTTTAGTGACGCATTTTCGTTTCATCGAGTTTCAAATCATAACGATTATAAAAACACTTGAAAAATTACAAATATGACAAAATGATGTTTTTTAATTTTTATTTCAATTTCACGGGTGACTTTCATAGACAATTTTTTTTAATTTTATTTGGGGGCTCGGAAAATATATCGCATTTTCTTGCACAATTACTATCTAAATCGACTTAGTTTTGGAATGAGCGAGTTAGCTCCGCGTTAGTTCTGCGAAGGGGAGGGAACGAACCTTACAGATGTCCTAAATTTCACCCAAATCGGCCCAGCCGTTTCCGTGTCAAGGAGTAACAAACAGACATACTTATCGCATTTATATTATAGTCAGATTAGATCTACGTCATTATAGATTACTTATTTGAGATATTATAGTTCAATGACAAGTATCAATCTATTTACTCACGCGTGCAGATATTGCTTAACTTGCAAAATCATTAAAGCCGTAAGCGTTACAATATCTATTATCGCCATGAAAATAAACGTATCGTAAGAATAAGACTAGAATAAAATAGTCTAATAAACTGTCACTTGCCAAATACATAATGCCTTGGTGAAACACCAAGGCCAGAATTATAAGAAATTAGCAAAACCCGCGGCTTCGCTCGCGCTAAAACTATAAAAAAACTCTAAAAAGGTAGTTTTCATACAAACTTTCATCCTCTATTTTACCCCCTATTGGATGAATTTCGAAAAATGCTAAAACGTATTTATTTAATTTTATTAAAGAGGATTAGTACCAAGTTTTACGTAATTCTAATACATATTTTTTTTGGATTGTATTATAACGTGTTTTCCCGTGGGAATTAAATAATCTCCCGCGGTAAAAAATAGCCTATGTCACTCTCCAGCCTTCCAACTATCTTCACACAAAAAATAAAGCCAATCCATCATTCCATTTCGACGTGAAAGAAGGACAAACAAACAAACAAACAAACAAACAAACAAACAAACAAACAAACAAACACACATTTATAATATAAAAATGGATAAGGATACGGATGATGAACAAGTGCCGCTCGACTTCGGTTGCATTTAGAGTAATATCTGTTAATGCTAAATAGGAAATTGTATGTTTAGTGTATACTATATCAAGGAGTACTTTATTTTGTGTACTTACTTTTATATTTTTTCTAACTACTTTTACCAATTATTATTATTTACCTATTATTATTTAATCATTATTAACCTATGAATTTCTTTTAATCGTATACTTATTTGGTATTAGCTTTCGACTGAGTCTCTCTCGCGTTTTATAAGATATGACGAATTGATAAAAATAGCTACCTTTTAAATAAAACTATCTTTCCGGATTTTTTGCAGTATTTATTTTAAATATTGGTTCCCGATGTCTCAAACGTACTTTATAGTTTTTTTTTAAAATAAATCCTAAAAGTATTAGTAATAGACGATTGCAAATGCCAAGCAGTTCTTAAAGTGCTTGCTTGGGTTTTGGTATAGTACAAATTGCAATAATATGATCTCAACGCAATATGAAAATGAAATGTGATTCTATTTTGGAATGGGATAGACATATGTACACATGGACTTATTTGTTTTATTTCTATCAGCATAGTTATTTATAAATACATACAGTTTTTATATCATTGGTAATTTGTGTAAGAAAATACTTAAATCTTACCATTTCGATATGGTTCACATTCACGCCGAAGATACATAAATATATAGGTAGGTACGTCATACTAATTTTTAATGTAATACCTATATAATATGCATATAAATATAGGTGCATATAAATATATAGATAATACAGTATACTCAATTCGGTACACGAATATTAAATATGTAAGTAGGTACTAGGTAAGTATGTCATTTTTATTTTCGCTCTACATAAAATAGAAATGTTAGGATGTTATAAAAGGAAGTTTCGAAATCGACTTTAGATTAACTGAAGGTCTAATAGAATTGTGAGAAAAGAAGAATCCGCGGCTTCACTCGCGCTAAAACTACAGAAAAACTCTAAAAAAGTAGGTTTCATATAAACTTTCATCCCTTATTTTACCCTCTTTAGGGATGAATTTTGAAAAAGCTAAAACTCGTATTTATTTAATTTAATTCAAGAGCATTAATACCAAGTTTCAAGTAATTCTGATCAGAAATAATTTTTGGGTTGTATTATAACTTGTTGTCCGTATATACCGTGTTATAGTGTGTTGTTTGTTATCTCTCGCGTTAAAAAGTAGCCTATGTCACTCTCCAGCCCTTCAACTATTTCCACACAAAAATCACGTCAATCCTTTTCGATGTGAAAGAAAGACAAACAAACAAACAAATAAACAAACAAACACACTTTCACATTTATAATATTAGTATAGAATATAGATGTTGCTATTTCTTGTATAGACAATTGTTTTTAGTTTTAAACTAAGCTGTTCTTCCTGACTGAATTGTCACTCGAACCAATCCACTGGAAATAAAAGATTGGAATTTTGATAAAACATATATTTGATTTCCATAAACATTATCGCTTCCGTTAAAAAAAGTAGTTACTGAATTTGAAAAAATTAACACAAAACATTCTTTACTAAGGTACTTATAACATTCTGAAGTCTATGCTAAGACCATTGCTATGGATGATGGAAAACTAAAAAATCTATGGTAATGAAATAAGAATCAGCTCCTGATCTGACTTATTTTGGAGGCAAATCACAATGGGCCCAACCATGTGCGCGAGAAATATTATAGTGCACAAACAAGTGTATTCTCTTTTCCTTTCATTCTCAAAGTCCAATCGGACGATACTACGACACGACTGGTGAGAAATCAGTCGCAGGACCAATTTACGTTATTTTCAAGGTACAGAAGTAACACAGAGAATTACCCAACTTCGGGCTGCTAATGAGATTTTCTTAACAGAAAAATTACACATGGTTTATACATGGCCTGACCTAGAACCTCGAACCTCGAAACTCGAACTTCGAACCACGAACTTCGAACCTCGAACCAAACCTCACATTAGCCATTAGATTTAGATATTTTACTTCAGAATCATCAGCTCAATCAATCAGGTCAAAATAAGTCATACCTATATGTTTTTATTTATCAATTTTACTTCTCTCGTCTATCCAATTATTTTACCAAGCGTAACTTAAAAACAACTGAACAGTAAATAAAACTGCTTTTATTGTATCTACAGGCGGCTAATAAAAAAAGAAAAAAAAATTGTATTAATTAGGTTTTACTTTATTGAACCTACTTATACTCGTACAGTCTGTGTTTCTCTTAAAGTTCTTATATGTACCTATCTATGAAGCATGGATCTTTTTTAGTGCATGTTAAATGCGTAAATTCTAAATGAATTAGATATATACTAAGTAGAAACCACTACTAGCACCATATAATGTCTGTTTTTATTTCATTAAACTTGTATTGGACTGCGAAATAACATCGATAATATCATATCCCACGAACCCGCACAAATTCTAAGTAGTCCCTATACTGTAGATGAGCGCTAAATTATTATATAAAATTCATAGTAGGTACTATGAATTTTATATATTATGGGGTTAAATAGAAGATAAAGTATGCTATGTTTAGAGTTAGAAGTGTACAAATTCGTATTTAGACTCACTTTTCTAAAAAAAGTTTTTTATTTAAATATTTTTCATTTCCTAGGGAATGAAATTCATTGAGAAAGTTTATAAGAAAATTACGACATTTTCCAAGTAAAAAAATGGTGCCTACTAGTTTAATGGTCCTACTATTAAGGATTCTGAAGAACTTTGAAACTTGAAAGTAAATAGTTATTTAACGCCAAAAAACGTAAGAAAACGCTTAGGTATAGATGTTTTTTTAAGATGCGTCATCCTCGAAGGAATAAAATTTTATTCGTAAAAAAAAATGTATAATTAAATACAAAAAAGCTTAAAAAACGTAGTATATTTTTTAATCAATTCGTAGTAAAACGTATATATTTATGAAAAAGTCTCATATTCTGTATTATGCAGCAATCGATCAAGGTACATAGTAAGTAACTAGCTTTATATATATAATAAATGAATGCATACACAAATCACACTCACCAACATATTCCTCTACTTATCATCTTTCACCAGAACTAAACAATGCTAACAAAACCACAAAGTCAGAACTCTACTAAAACATAACGTTTATGGATAATTAAGGTAAATCTCATAAATATATATCTTAAGAATCGTATTCGAACAATAACTTGTATACAAAACAGCGGCCCACGCAAACCTACAGTAGATTCAGTACTGAAGCTGTGAAGGTTGCCCGCGAAGAACTGTTGCAATATTATGCACACAATTGTTAATGGGTTCAATAAAACAAATTGATTATCAGTATGACATTAAGACATTCTGTCACACATAAACTTTCGAAATATATTAAGGCTTTTCTATAATATTGTCTTAGATTACAACAAGTAGGTAAGTTACTTGCCACTGAATTTTATGTTGTCAAAATCCTAAAGTACGAGTTCTTTACATAACAATAATAATGGAAAAAATCACTCGTTTTACATGATTTAATTTAAATTCTAACCTATCATAGCAAAGATGCAAAAAAAATACATGTCAATAACTTTTTGTTTTACAAAAAGTAAAGTTGGTACTAAATAACATCGATATCGGTAGATTCTTATCGATGGGGGTCATATTATTAATGATTAAAAATTTAATAATAATGTATGAGTTTTGTTCAACATACATTTTATAAATAAAATAGGAATTCGCATGCAATTGTTCGTGCTAATGTATTCAGATAATGATTTTGCTAAATATCTTAAGTTCACACGTTCGAGCTACACCAATAATAATAAACATACATAGAAACAATTAATTTAGATGTATGACTAGACGTGAGCAGTAGTTTGTATGTATATATTTATATATGTTTGTATACAATATATATTTATATATAACTAGCGGTACCCGCGCCTTCGCCCTCGTTCAATCTACTAAAAAACAAATCTTTGCCTTTATGTTATAACTTATAATAATTTGATGACACACCGACTGCAGCCTACCGGGTCCATTTGTGAATTCAAACCATCCAGGAACCCATTGATATATACATACAAAATTTCATCATAAATAATACGAGTAACTAGCCATTCTCCACTGTTAGAATTTAAAGGAAATAAGTTAAAGAAAAATATTTTTTCAATTCCTCGAATTTTCAATTTTTATAAAACACGCAGTTTTCTACGTACATAAATTTTAGTCGCCCTTATATAATTTTTTCATTAATTTTGAAAAATATATTAATAAAATAATAATAATGCGTTATCTGTATTACCTACATACCTACATTATATATTATGTTATATGTAGTACTATGTTCGGGGGAGTTCAGATTGTATAGGTACTTGGCTTATTAAGTATTCAAATATCCCATGAGGACCATTTAATGGAAAAACATAATATTAGCTCATAATACATAATTATTATGTCAATAATTATTATGTCAGCAACATAATATTATAACAAGGATATTCTAATAAGGCTTCGAGCGAGTCTAATTTTTATATCATTTAGTTGAGACTTCAAGACGAATAAAGTTAGTAGTTAGTAGTAGTAGAAAAACTACAAACGAATTGAAATAAAATTAAGTTTAATTCAATTAGACTTATACAAGTACTTTTATTCGTCAATTTAATTAAAAGAGCGTCAGTGTCAGTCCGTGTTAAAGTTAGCACTGGCTCGAAAAGCAGTTCTGCTGAAAAGAGACTTTTTTTTAACACATGATTAGGTATAGATAGCCCACGTGAGTCAATATATCTCAAAATATATTTTTTTAAATATTTTATAATTAAGTAATAGACATACAGACGATTAAAATAATTCAATAAGTATAAAAATCAGAAATTAGAAGAACGTATTTATTTTCCAAATATAAGTTAAAAATTTTTTGTGCAAAAGTGCTTTATAAGCACTTGTCATATTGACATCTATTAAGTAAAATTCCTCCAGTGGTTTTTCTGTGATGCGGTAATAGACAAACCGACAGACAGACAAAAAATCTAAAAACTACAGATTCGGCCTGGGTATCGATAATAATATTTATTTCAATAACATTTTCCAAAAAAAATTAGTGTACAGATTCGCCTTCGTTACAATTTTATTATTATATGTATAGAAGATATGACCAAGTCACGTTTCTATTTTCTATACGCTCTTAGTAATCGGAAAGAAGTCATAAAATAAGTATGATTGAGTGGAATTGACGTTTTAACACAATCCGCCAACACTTCGAAAGGGGCCTTGAGCTATATAACTTTCTTAAACTCTCAATATATTAATGTGACAGAACGAATTATTTCAACAATGGCTTTGCAATACTGTTCATGTCCGATACAGTAACTAAGAAACGTTTTACATCGTTTTACTCAAAATCAATTTTATTTTAATGTTGATACAAAAATATATATCTAAATAGTGTGTGTATGTTTGTATAGATGTAATGTAGTTGTAAGTTGTAAGTTTTTAAATGTAACTAACAAGTGGACTGAGTCTTAAATAAAAATATTATTATTATATTATTATTATTATAGAAAATAAAAAAAAACTTTAATTATTGAAAAAATAGTGATTTTTAAACATCATGTAGCTATTTTATCTAAAGGTAAAAAAAGAAACCGTTATAAGATCACGCTCTTCTCCGTCTGTCCGTCTGTCTGTCCGTGTGTCACCACCGATTTTCTCAGGAACGGGTAGACCTAGCAAGTTGAAATTTATACCAGATACTGAGTGAGGTCTATCGTCCCTATTAGGTGTATAAAAATCAAGGTCTTGAGTCAACACGATAAAAAGATAGGGCAAATTTAAATTTTCGCGAAAACTTGTAAGTACCAAAACTTACCTTAATTTTCAACTTTTTTATTTTTCGAAATTTTCCTTTTACTTGTGCTGTAAAACTTTGCTTTTAACCAAAATTGACAATTCTAGGTCAACCAGAAGTACCCTATAGGTTTTGGGTCGAAAACCTATATGATTGTTCCTGTTGACCTAAAATCACATTTGGCAAAAAGTAAGGTCTTACAGCACAAATAAAGGAAAAATTCAAAAATATAAAAAAAAGTTGAAAAAGTTAAACAGATTTCCTTAGAAATTTGTACGGAACCCTCGATGGGCGAGTTTCGTTATTATTTCGTTATTTCGTTCTTGGAGGTTGTAGAAATGATGCCCGCTGCGTATGAGCGGCGTAACTGGTAAGGCATCTTATGCAATGTTCTCAGTGCCGAATCGAGATCAAAAAGTGTCCAAAAATTTTTGTACAAGGCTAGGGTTCTTAAATATGGCATTAATATGAATATTGCGTTAAATAATTTTGTGAGTGTAAATATATTAATTACTTCTTTAAAGTATAACAATAAAAAAGATTTGCGAAAAAATTGTATATTGCAAAGATTACATCATATTTTTATCAAAGTAGGTACCTGGACTGGATCTGGACCAAATGGAACTGCGGAAAACTAGGTAAGTGCCTATATATTTAGACACCATTTGTATTAAATCGAATGTCACATTGCTAGAAATTAAAACTCTATTGCCCGATTTTACCAACATCACTTAAGCTACCTCCTACGTATCCCTAGCTTAAAAGTTCCCCTAAACTAGCCCCTGAATTAAATTTCGTTTTACCATCGTCAGAGCCCGTATTTCTAGTACCTATATTTAGGTGGCATTTTAACATTTAGGTTAGGTTAGATTAGTTAGTTGACCCCTAACTGTCGGTGAAACAGAAACTGTCCCCTAACAGCCCTCTAACCATGCTTAGGGGATCCCTTAAACTTAGGTGACGTTGGTGAAACCGGCCATATAAAGTAAATTGATTTCATAAATAATGTTACGACAATTTTATTATTTATCTATATATTTATATATATCTATTATCTATGACTATTAAAATTGCTACTAAATTACCCACAGCCTCGCCCGTGTTCAAATTATCAATAAAACAAACTTTTTGGCTTTATAACCCAGTCGAATTAGCTCAAAAAAGGGGCAAACATTGCAAATTTTTTATCAGCAATTTTCCTTCGGAATACTTTGGGAGAGGAGAGGGGGGGAGGGAACTGGAAGTCTAAATTTAGATTTTCGGGGTACCAGATCCGTTTTCGATTTATAATTTGGATTTCTTCCGGATGAATTCGTCGACAATTACGAGGATAAGCAAACGACGAAAACTTGGCTGGACCATCGGCTAAACGTTCCAAACAAACATAATTATTGAAATTTCAAAAAAACTTTGTAAACAGAAAACAAAATAACAGTTCATTTTTTCAATTTTAAATGTTATTCTGTTCTATAAATTTTTCATATCTCATAAACTACGAAACGTACATTCTGCAAGATAATTTTCGATAAAAATATTTTAGAAACTGTTATACCTCATCTCTTTCAGATTTTTTTGCCAACATTTCTTGGAAAGTGGAAATTTTAAAGGACACAATTATATGCTTACGACTTTAATCATTTTAGCCGAGCGACATGAAATAATAAAAAGCATTTGCTTAGAATTATTTACTTCTGGAACTTTCACTTCCCCAACACTTTCTTTTGAAAATCGTTTCGAAAAATGTTACTAACTAGCAGCTCACCCTCGCTTTGCTCTGGTTCGCCTCTAGAAAAACAAATCTATCCCTCGGGAACCGTAACCGAATCCCTTCGTTTCCTAGAAAAAAATAGTGTGTGTTTAACTTTTATCCAAGAAATTATACTTGAATTCATTTCTCACTTGCAAAAATACATTTCGGTCCACTCGCCGCTCATGCAGACGGATCAAGGGCCAGTACTACCCAATAAAACTCACTGCAAACGGTCACCTCCGTATAGTAGTATTCTTCACAACGACCAATAAACAAACTCTCCGATTATAGATACCTATACTTTGTTGGCCGAACCGATTTTTAAATATATTTTTTTATCATGGACAAATGCTAGTCTGACCTTCAAGAGTGCCGTACCCCAAATAATTTTTACGTAAGTATTTTTTTATGTTAATATAAACATGTATTACGGACTTATCTTGACAGGCTGGCTAATGTCAAGTTCAACTATTTTCATTAATTAGAATAGT